AGATAGGGAGACAGATAGAGAGAGAGACAGATATATATATATATATATATATGTATACAACCAAATTCATTGGTAGGTATACTCATGTCTGGTTTTTGCCCCAGAATTATTTTTTTGTGATCATTCATATATACACTAACCAGCTTGGTCACCTTTCAAAATTATTATTTCTTTTTTTAATGGCGGGTGCTTGGGATGTATTGTCGCAATGGCCTCTTAATGCCAGAACTGCTACTCTCTTCGTGTTACCCAGTGGGCAACTGTGGCGAAGCCACGTCACACAACCACAAACCCGTTTATAGGGCGGGTTACAATCACAGAAAGGACATAGAACATAGAGAGAAAGAAAGATCCATGCCCTGAGCAGGATTCGAACTCGCAACCATCGGCTCCGCAGTCAGGCACGCTAACCACTCGGTCACCTGGTCGGCCCTTTCAAAATTATCTTATATAACATATAAACCTTTAATGGTCACGAAGCCAAATGCACAACACAACTGCATATAAATTTTTTAATTCTTTAACCCCCCCTCAAATCCTAAATACTTCGGTTTGTTTTAAACAATATATTAGCCATTTTATTGTCTTGCTGTTGGTCGAGGCTTTGCTCGCGCGGAAATACTTAAATTTCAATTATAACAATTTTCAAGAGATATTCGCGATATTGTCAAAGTTCTTAATGTATTGAATTTTTGTAATAATATTTGCCCGGTAGCCATTAAATCACACAAACATACGTAAGTATGAATTCGGGACATTTCAGCATAGTAGGCAACAGAAGTATTAAAGTTATTTTTATTTCTGTAGCAAGATATAGAAAACTCATCCGTTGTGCTCCATTACGTACTGTACTACTTCCTCGCGCACCTCTCGATCCACAACTTCAGTATCGTATAATATATATATATACGTTGTTGCTCGTAAAAGGAGAGTGCCGTCACCAAAAATTGTTTGGCAGTATACGACATTACAGCACTTTTTATGTTTCAAATTTCTGCAGCTATTTTAGAAAAGATTAATAACCAATCTAAATAATTCTTTGTAACGGAGTTTATATATATAAATGTTAGCGGCAA